CTTCGGGAGCTTTTTGATGTTCTCAAAGCCTCAGGGTCGTCTGTAAGTCCTACAGTGCATGATGTTTCCAAAAAGCCTTCGGGAGCTTTTTGATGTTTTCAAAGCCTCAGGGTCATCTGTAAGTCCTACAGTGCATGATGTTTCCAAAAAGCCTTTGGGAGCTTTTTGATGTTTTTAAAGCCTTAGGGTCATCTGTAAGTCCTACAGTGCATGATGTTTCCAAAAAGCCTTCGGGAGCTTTTTGATGTTTTCAAACCCTCAGGGTCATTCATAAGACCTTTGGGCATAATGTTTTCAACATTTCCAAATTACTCAAAATAAGCTAAATGAAAAAATTATTGTCTTTTTCGTCTTTGCTCTATTCTTGTTAACACAAGAATGAGCAAAGAGGGGCAGCTGTAGACACTAATTTTTATTTTACTTAAATTATTATTATTATTATTATTATAAATATTATTATTATTATTTATATATATATATATATATATATATATATTATTTAATAAATATTACAAACCCAAAAATAAGGCCCGATTACAAACAGGCCAGATCAGAGATGACCCAAACCCTTTAGGGTTTGTAACATATCAGCTAGGGTTTTCTAACCCTAGCCCCAGCCGATGCTGCTTCCAGAAGCTCCCAGCTGCCACGCGGCACCGCCTCTACCATTGCCTCATCCCCCTGCTGCCAAGTGCTCCAATCAGCCACTGCCGACGGTCAGCCGCCCCACGTTGCTACCTCACTGCCACGAAGCCCATCGAAGCTCCCAGATGAGTCATTCCAGCCGTCCACGCATCCCGTTCTTCGGTGAGTCACCACAGGTTCGGTGACTCACTAGAAATCATCTCTAGGACCGGTCCGACGAGAGCCTCGGTGGTGGCTTTTATAGCCACCACACCTGCAAAGAGAAAGAAGGAGGACAATCAGCAAACGGGAGACAACAACACCAACAGCAAGCAATCCAGCCACCATCAAACACCAAAATAACGAGATAAAAATCGAAAGAAACCTTACCGAGGAAAGCCACACCACCACCGGAGTAACCACGCACCTCCACGCTCCACAACAAACCTTCGAAAACCGAAGGTATTTTCATAGATTTGCTCCGATTGGGAGCTTTTTAAGGTAAACAAATACCGGAATCGTCATTAGGACGATCCGATCTACATTGTGGTATAAAGTTTTATTTTCCGGCCACGATGAGGTTGGCGGTGGCTATCGGCGCCGGAATTCCCTCCGGTGAGGGAATTAAGAGAAAAGGAAGAGAGAGCTTCTTCTTCTCTCGTTTTTGAGAGAAGAAGAAGAAGAGAATAATGAGGCTGCTGGCCCTTCGGGCCAGCTATGAAGGGGTATATATACCCCTTCCCGAACGACGTCGTTTTGGGAAGGGGTATATGCGTAATTTACATGTATGGCTAAACCCTTTCAGTAGCCATCCGTGTTTTGTAATTATTCATTTTAGTCACTGAAATTAATTTCTGAACATTTTAATTCAGTTTTTGAATTTTATTTTATTATGTTTTAGTCCTTACCAGTATTAAATAATATATTTAGGATAAATACGTATTTAGTCCTTTAGTTTTAATAAATAATATTTTAATCTCGAGTATATATTTTTAATTTATTTTAATCTGATATTCGAATTTTTTATAATTTTATTTTAGTCACCAAATTAATAAATAAGGAAAATAGCATGTTTAATCCCTATAATTTTAAATAATTAATCACGAATTAGGTATTTAATTCTATTAAGTTCTAATTTAGTCACTATTTCAATTTCTATTTAATTTTTTTACAAGTTTTATATATAGTTTTAATTTTATTATTTATATGTTTACTCTTAATTATTATTACTATTATTATTATTATTATTTAGTCATAAATATATATATATATATATTTATCTAATATTTATTTTATTTATTAAAAACTTATTGAATTATTTTTAACCTATTTTAATCATGTTTTAATATTTATTTATTTTTCAATATTAAGAAAGGGCAGTCTTAAAACAACTGGATGTCCGTTTTCTGATATTTTTAAATAAATAAATATTTTATTTTTTAAATCATATATTAACTATTTTAATTATTTTTTTATATCGAAGAAAAGAGCTGTCTTAAGGCACCTAGAAGTCCTTTTCCGATATTTTTAAATATTTTTTTATATAATTTTGAAATAATAGGATTATAAATTAAATATATTTTGAATTTTTAAATTTCTAATAACCGTGACAATTTATAATTAAAAAGTATCAATTTTGGGCGTTGTATGGGTGCTAATCCTTCCCTAAACGTAACCGACCACGAATCCCTTTTTATTATTAAAAAGAACGAATTTTTGGTTAAAACGCAGATCAGTTTATCTTTTAATTGATGTTTTCTTAAAAACTCTTTTAAAAGATATTTTTTAGGTATTCGACCTACCTGACCCAAAAGGCCGATGGCGACTCCCAAATTATTTTCAAAACCATTTATTCACATCAATTTTCCCGTCAAATAAATTTTTCGTGCCCGGACGAAAACCGGTTACGACATATGGAAAATGGTTAAATCACGTATTAGGTCCCCTATTTCTAGGGGTTTTCTGTTTTGTTCATTTATTTCAGGGTCAAATCGCATTCCAGGTCCTCCCTATTTCAGCATATCTTGCATTTTGGTCACTATCAGGGTAAAAGCATCCTTAAGCCCTCATATTTTAGCTTCTATTGCACTCTGGTAATTTATTTTGTTATTTATTTTGAATATGCATATTGATTTTATTAACTTTCGAATTTAGTCACTATTTTTTATGTTTATTCATTTTAGTCACTGTTTGGATTTTGTTTTTATTATATTATGATTTGGATGTGATATTTGTAATTTATTTATTTTAGTCACTTTTTTTTATTTCTCATTTGGCATATAATTTGTAATATTCTAATTTAGTCCCGAGTTGTGGTGTAATGTATTATACATTATATTTGGCATGTAAAATTTGTAGTATGTATTTTAAGTGATGCATATGTTTTATATTTTATTATTTATAATTTAGGTGAATGTACAATTTTATTTTTTAAACTTAAGTACTTTATTCTCTTTATTTACATTTGTATTGTTCATTTTAGTATTTATTATTTAACCTTTATTATTTAGAACTTTAATTTTTGTAATGTTCATTTTAGTAATTATATTTTGTTTGCTTATTTAACGTAATATTTATGCTTTAAAGTATGCACTTGTTAATTTAGTTCAATTTTATTTCCATCATTGAATAGCATTTAATTTTTATCTTTGCTTTAATTTTCATTTATTTGTTCCTAATTAGTATTTTTAATTTATAACTTTTGCCATGAAAATTTGTTTGTGCATATAGATCTAGATATTTGGAATATGTATGAAAGCTTCATAAGCATAACTTAATCGATTTCATAATTGGATTAAGGGTAGTATTTATTTATTTTAAAATATTAAGAAGAGACGGTCTTAAAGTAACTAGATGTCCTATTCTGATATTTTAAAATAAATAAAATCTCTATTTAGAAAAACCTAAAACTTTTGAATATGCCTATTTTAGTTTTATTCAATTTGGTTGAATCACATTATTTTAATATTGAGTTCTTGGGAGAAATTATTATATTCTTTTTATTTCAGTTAGAAAGAGAAATATTCGTTCTACAGTATTTTAGGGATTATTTTCTCTTCAATTGGAAATATTAGAATATTTTCTATTTCTCCTTAGAATTTTTCAGTAAATAAAAATTGTATGGTTGAATCTGGAATAATAGGATCATAACTTAAATTTATATTAAAATTCTTAGATTTTCACTATTAGAGACAATTTATAATCGATGGGGTACCAATTATGGGCGTTGTGGGGGTGCTTATCCTTCCCCACACGTAATTGACCCCCGAACCCTTATTATTGCTTAAAAATGAATTTCTAGTTACACGTGGATCAGTGTATCTTTTAAAATGACGTTTTTCTTAAAAACTCTTTTAAAATAAATTTTTTAGGTATTCGACCTACCTAACCCAAAAGGTCGATGGCGACTCTAAAACATTTCAAAACCTTTTTAAAGAAAACCTCAAGTCGTACTAAGTTTTTCCCCGCCAGGCGAAAAACGGTGTCGACAATTAGGTATGGTTTTGAAAAAAATAGTTAGGTGACTAAAACAGAATAAAAGTGATAGTTGGGTGTTAAACGTGTAGTTTACCCTTGATTTTTCTATTGTTTAATTTTTAAAAATATTGATTATAACTATTTTGAATTATTAAATTTATATTTAATTTTTTATTATTAATAAATTTTAATAAAAAATAAAGGATTAAAGCGAGTATTAATTGGTTGGAGAATTCCATGATTTTTAAGTGAAAAGGGATTGAACCATTTAACGAATGTCGAATGGTACTCTAAGTCTCAACTTGAATAAAAACAATTAAGGATCGAAATAAAAAAAATTAGTATACGTTAGGGACCAAATCAACTATTAAACTTATTTTTGAAGAAAAATATTACTAATGTTATCACACGCTAAAAAATTTAATAAACTATTATTAATAATTAAAAATAAATTTTATTAACCAACAATCAATTGATGGGATGAGGTAGTAGATCCTTTAAGTTAAGATTTTATTATTATTAATATAAAGTAAATACAAGGTAGTATGTATTCAAAGATAACTTATTTGACATTTAACGCTTACACCCCCTTACCTAAAGGAACAAAAACAATTATTTTACCACTTATGTCATTTGATTCGTGCAAAATTAGAAGTTTAAATTTTATTGTTATAAAAGGAGAAAATTGAGTTCAGAGGATCGTTCCAATAATGGATCTCTGTAATACCGAACTAAATTAGTCAACTAATAGATTAAATAAATAATATTTAATTTAATTTTAAATTATAAAGTATATAGATAAGTATATTTTTTTATAATTTAAAAGAGTAAATATATCATCTACATTTTGAAATGTTCAGGGAGTGTGGTAGAGAAGCAAGGCGAAAACGCCTCCTTTGCTTTAATTAGTTCGACGTGAACAAACTTGAAACCACCTACTACAAACTACAAAGCTAAGATCAAACGCCGAACACTTGCTTTTATTTACTTTCTTTTCAAATTTAACCAATGAACATCTCAAGAAGATGCTGCACATTGTTGTTTCTTCTCCTCCTTTCGCATCAAATCCTACCCGTAATCAGTCAAAGTGAGAAGCTGCAACAAAAGACCACTAATGAAGACAAACCGTCTACCTTCAAGATTGTATCCAACACCCTTTCATTGTTGAAGAACGCCCATAAAAATTCTGTCGAAAAAATCAAAACAATTATCCATGATTTCCGCTTGCAGTTCACTTCACCTAAGCCAGAGTACGATTACATCATTTGTTTTTTTTTTCCCGTTTAGTTTATGAACGTCATAGTACTATATTACAAATGCAGTTTGCTGTGTCTCAGTGACATTGGAAAACATTATGATTAATACCATGATGAACGTAGGTATATGATTGACATGTTTTGTTTGTTCATCGTCTTTGACAGTGAAGAAGCAATGAAGAAAAGGGTTGAAACTGGCAAAGAAAACGTTGAAGAAACTGCGAAACCTGCCGCAGAAACTGTTGAAAAGACGGCTAAACCTGCAGCAGAAACTGTGGAGAAGACGGCTAAACCTGCAGCAGAAACCGTGCAAAAGAGCGCTGAGAAGGTTGAGGGGGATGCCTCGGATAAAAAAGAATCTCGTGATGAACTTTAAACAAAACCCAGAACCCGTATCTGTAGAGTTATTGGCTTTTTTGTTATAAATTTATCATCTTTTTGAGTACAAATATGCATTAATTCTCATCTCTGATGTACTTTTTTTTCCTTATGTAGTCTAGGTTTGTGGGTGAACCTTATTAATCCTTTGAAATAAATGCTTTCACATCCAATTTCAATCAAATTTCAAAACCAGCCTTTTCTTTTGAAGCATTGGTAGAAGAATCATTGGAAATATTAACAATGCCGTGCACCGGAAGAAATTCAGATACTTGAAAATGCTCAAGCAATTAGCTTACAATGACATAAGATAAATGGAGAAACAGAATTGTTTGGGTCTTGTCATCTCTAATCATCTCTGGACAGATGCAACGAATAACGAAGAGGAATGCATCACAATATAGAAGATAAGATTAAACAACAATTAATTAGTAATGCACCATATTCTAAACTGAGTTATCCAGTATCTTGATTACTTATTATTTATTTATTATTAGTAATGCAAATTGTTTCGTTCAATATTGTTTGCACCATAAGTAATTTTTCTTATTGACCAACTATGAATTTTGATGTAGTAACTGTGATGGGTAGTTTTCATGCTAATGTTAAAGTATAGCAGCATTTTTGCTTGATGAAGCTTTTACATGTTTTCTTGGGTTAGTCAAAACGCTAACCGATAAAGTAAACAGTAAAAATTAATAAAAGGCTGAATTAGTATTTTATTGTATCGAACATAACACAATAAATACAAAATTAAAATTAAAGAAAAAAATTTATTTACTCATATGTAGACATAAATCGAAACAGAGACATTGAGATATGTTTACATAGTTCTTTTAAGATAGATTTATTTGTTCTTACAATACTGGAAGACATTGATTAATTGTCTCTCATTATACAACAGTGAGAGGAGCACAACAGTAGCATGATTGTATTATTCAGAAAATTGTAACTTTGCCTTTTTTCTATCGATGAAAACTCTTTGAAAATAGAAAAAAAAATACGTGTCTTAACCTTGTAGATTAAAACTGAAAATTTATTAGAAAATTTGAATAATGAAACAACTAATATCCGAAAATCTAGAAATAATATTATTGCCTTGTGAATTAATATAGTAATTACTTAAAATTATGTCTGAATTAAGGAGCTATTAAATTTAATTTAATTTAATTTAATTTAGACTCAAATATAATATTTATAAGCCCATGCGGGGTCTATCTAACCAATCAGGATATTTTCTCATCACTCGTGTACACCCCAAACTCCATTGAGAATAAATTTGCACCCACGTGTGAGGTAAAACCTTATTTTGCACGTTCAATAATATTGCAAGTGATTCATGTATATAAATATATCCAACACTTAGTATCTCACTTAAGTGGGATATAAGCTTTTCATTTTTACTTTAACATAATTCACAAGTTGTTTGTTGAACATTAATTTCTGATTCATCACTCAACTACTTTGAGCATATGATATACTATTATAAGTGTCGTATAAAATTGAATAAAAATTATAATTTTATTATTTAAATCTCCACCCTTACCCATAAAAATATAAAATCTATTTTTTCCAACATCTTCAACACTTTGCATTGTGTCCCTTGTCCTTTTTGGTGCCTTTATGAGCCGCGTTGCTATTTTCAATAGTTTTTAACAGTTTGCTTGTTGGGGAAACGTAATTTATTAAATCAAATTGATGATTAAATTTATTCAACGTATAAGTGGTGAGAATTAAACGTTTAAATATACTAATTTTATTAACTATCACATTATTTTCTCTGTCTAATGTTAACATCAGGTGACTTAATTGACAACGTTTAAATAGTTAAGTTGTATGATTGACAAAATTAAAAGATCGTTGGTCAAAATAAACTCTTATCATAGTTAAATGGTCATGGGTGTAATTTACCCTAAAATTTAAAACAAGTATATTCAATCTTAAGGAATGCCTACATATCTAGGGTCTTAAAAAGAAAAATAAACTAATAGATCCATGCTACCTTATGCAAAATCTAATGTACATCATTTTCATATTCATACACAAAATTTTGATTTCATAATTGATTGTTTTTGACAATCCATATCATATTCATATAGTATGCTTTCATATTCATATGTATGCACTAAAGAGTGTTGAAACTATTTTATATCGAATTCATATTGATTTTAATGTTATAGTTCAAAATTTTAAATCATAATTGTTCTCTTAATATTATCTCTAAGATTTAAATATAGGTGATCTTACTACCTTCTTTCCGGTTATATAGACATTTTTGGTTCTTAATAAAATCTTTCACTTAGCTAAAGAGAAAGGAAAAAAATAAACTTCAAGGACTTAAAAGGATATTTTAGGAAGAGTTTTCACGTATTTAAATCCACTAGATCGATCCTTTTAATAAAGGAATCGATACTTCGAACAAATAGATCGATCTTTTTCATCACAAGTGCAATTGGATCGGTTCAAGTCTTCGAGAAATCAATCCTTTCGTAGGAAAACTGTAATATTAAGTCTAGATATATAAAAGTTAAGCTGCCAAAAAAACTCTTAATAACATTATACATTCAAATCAAATTATAACAAAGTCAACCAATAAAGTTGTCGTAACCGTTTTTCTGCGGGGACAATCTTTTAATTGTTTTAAAAATAGTTACGATTTTAATTTTGGAAAATGGGTGATTTTGGATTAATTTGGAAAAAATTGAAAAGAGTCTCCATCAACCTTTGGTTAGGTAGGTCGAATACTTAAAAAAATCTTTAAAAAATCATTTTAAGAAAAATCATTTTTTAAGACAAAAGCTGGTATGCGTTTACCAAAGATTCGATTAAAACGGGTTCGGGAGTCGGATACGCGTGGGGAAGGATTAGCACCCCCACAACGCCCAAAATTGATATTGTGTCGCTTACACTTTGTCGTAAATGGTGAAATTTATGAGTTGAATATAAAGTTAAAATATGATCCGTTTATTAAACATTAATTAATTTGCTTCGAATTAATAACTTAAAGGAGTAAATTCAAAAGGATTGAAATGATAATAAATGAATATTACAATCCTAAATACAAATAGAAAAAAATAAGTATTTAAATTTATAAAGACCAACATAGAAAGAAAAAAAACTTTAAGGATCGAAGTAGCAAAAATAAAAAAAGACTACAATGATATAAACGAAAACTTTAAGTCCTAAAATAGTAATTACCAAAACTTAAAAGTTAAAAATAATAAAAAAAATTCTAAAGGGATTAAAATAGCAAAACAAACTTTTAAGGGGTTAAACAAATTCTTTAGATTGAAAATATCAAATAATATTGATACTAAAAGTGAAAATAATCCCTAAATAATATTAAAGATTAAAATAAATTAAACAAAAATCTAAAAGAGTATATAAATAATTAAACAAGAAAATGCATTTAAAATTCATAATGACTAAAATAATCATAGGGGAAAATCTATAGCTTAAACACCATAAAAACTATAACAAAGAATAAATAAAATATAACAGAAATATGAGACAAAATCTTGAAGATTAACAAAGATGCATAATAATTAAATAGGGATTAAAATGAAACATTTACTCATACTAAAACTTAAACCATAACTTTCAAAAAAATAATTAATAATTAATAATTTTAGTTGAAGATAAAATCTATTTACATAAATAAAGAATAACGTGAAATCAAGAAAAGAATAAAAATGTAGGGTCATGTTGCAAAGGTTAAATATTAAAAAAAATAGAATGATCACATGCAAAAATAATATTCATTTTAAACCAAGTATCTACTAACGGATTAAACATACCACTACAAGTTAAAATTATCATCAATCATGCATGGTGCCCAACAACAAAACTATATTAACAAAATATTAAAACATATAAATGGTGACTTAAATTCGAAAGTTGAAAAATAAAAGCCCAAAACACAATAATACTTAAATTAATGACTATAATAAAATAATTGCAAATATTGTAACTAAAATCAAATATTCATATAATAATAATATATCATGTAATAATAGGACTAAAATAAATTAAATAAAAACATGGAATGGCAAATAACAATTAGACCGAAATACATTAATAGTGACTAAAATAAAAATAACTGATAATAAAATGCACAAATCAAAAAGAAATAAAATAGAAAATAACATAATTAGTGGTTAACATATAAATGACAAAACTTAAGTACCAAAAGTGAAATAGACAAACCATATATATTCGAAAACTAAAATGTAAACTATGATGATGTTATAGGGGTTTAATGCAATTTTACGCAAGTAATTGTTGTCCATTTTATAACAACACGCTAAATGTTAGAGGGTTTAAACGTGATTTTACGCTAAAATTAAGGGGATCGAAGGGTGATTAATCCATAAATAATACGACTAAAGTGTAAAATACATTGAAACTTAGAACGGCTAAAATGTAAATGTACCAAAATAAATTTATATAATATAATTTATTAACCCTAAGTGATGGGGACTCATAATTTCCATGATTGCCGTGGAATCAGGGGATTTGAATTCCATTTTGTTTTTTTTCTTCTCAGCCGAAACACCCCCCTTTCTCGCAGTACTCGGCTGTGATTCACAAACCTTCCACGCCGGCCGCTATTTTGGTGGTCATTTTGCTTCGGCTACCACTCTTTCCAACCAAAGGTAATTGAACAATAACCCAACCCCTATTTCTCTTTCAAACCAAAGTAAATAAAATGTAAAAAAAATCCTAAACTAATGTACACCATCCCATTCAAACCCAAAACTCCAAGATCTATCGACTCTAGGCTCCGGCGTTATTCTCGTTGAAGGTAATCTTTTAATCCTCTTTACTGTTTTTTTAAACTAAATCTACTGATTTTATTTTTGAAATAAAATAAAATAAAATGTAAAGCTAAAAACCCAAATTTAAAATAACCTTTGTTGTATTTATTTTCAATTTTCTGTGTATTGCTCTTGATTTCCCCCCGTTACAATTACTTCTCTTCATGAAGGTCAGGAAGAGTTTCCTTTACACATAATGTTTACAATGAGTTTTTCCCCTCCTGTTGTTGATGAACCCCCTTTTTGTTGATGAAGTTCTCTGCTCGAATCGTTTCTCTTCTTTTTCTGTTCGTGCC